CAATTGCCAACACTCCCACCTTTTACTCTCTTCCTATATAAAAGGAGATTAGACCTTTGTAATCAAAAACCAATTCAGAAGTCATATCAATATACAAACTATTTTCCCTCTTATCAATTTCTACATGGTATCGGAGCAAGTTTTGAATTTTTGAGACCTCAAACACGCTTCTTCCCCTACCGATGGACATACACACAATTCAATGCCTACCGGCGGGATATTGTAATTTTTGATTTTCTTTGATTGTTCTCCCTCACTAAAGAATATCGTAAACTCCTTCAACAAAAAACATTGTTGTCGAGGAATCTCGCCCAACCATCAATCTTGAAGAAGTTGTCCGAGAAGGGTTGTTCTACAGAGACATACAACTCTTTCCTTAGCAGGCAATAAAAATAAAAAGTCGGCGTTCAGGGTGTTCGAAAAGAATGGTGTTCCCCCTGTTTGTTCGAATACGGTGAAGGTTCGAAAAGAATGGCGTTCCTTTACTCGACCGATTATTTGGCGGATTTGAAAATCTTGGTGTCTCCGTTGAAGAAAAAACTGAAGTGTCTAGATGACACTTGGACAACGATGGCAGCGGCTTCCTCAAGCTTTGTTGCTTTGTTCAATCTTTTGATGTCCAATCTGGGCATGTTGAACTCTCATGCTCCAGCTTGAGGGGGGTGTTGGCGACAGAAGAAGGAAGCCGAATCAAAGAAGGAAACCGAATCCCTTTGGGATTCAGTTTAGTATCTTTCCTAGTTTGCTTAGTTCTTGTTATAGTAGGAATAGAAATATGGTAGGAATAAAAGTTTACTTATATGTTTTACTCTCTTCCTATATAAAGAGAGTTAGACCTTTATAATCAAAAATCAATTCAGAAGTCATATCAATATACAAACTATTTTATCTCTTATCAATTTCTACAACAAATGTTTCCAAATGTATGATACTCTGGAGGTAATAAGAAGCATCAAAATGTCAGGAGATGTCATCTCTACCTCGTCGGAAAAATGTCGCGAGGGAGGGCACGTGCCTCGCTCTCCTCTACCCCTGGGAAAGGGGCCAGGGGTAAAAAGCATCAAATTTTTCATTGCAAATCTCAATGAGTAGAGGATGAACATAGAGGCATGATTAACATACAACGAGGACGAGGACTATTATAGATCGAGATGCCACCTGTTGGTTGGAGAACCTCGAATTCTAGAGATCACCCCCACATATCAAGGAGGTGTGCTCACGGTCTCACACAATTTATTGAAAAATTGTTTTTTATTAATTTACATGACATTAAATTATGTTTCAAAAATTATAGATATTTTATTAATTTAAATTGAACTGAGGAAATTGTCTATATTTTTAATTAAAATATTAATAATTATACTACTTCCCTGCCCAGCTATCCCTAATTAAATGGCATACACATTATCACGGTTCAAATGTTATTTACTTTCTGAACATATTCTACTAATATTAATAGTAATAATAATAATAATAACTACAATAATTATTATTATTATCATAAGAATGATATGTAAAATACACTTAATTAAATTTTTGAAATTCTTCCAATTTATTCCATTTTTTCCTAAATTTCCAGTTGTTTCCAACATTTAATTTTTTTTTCAATCCAAAAGAATAGAGTCTATGAGAATAATAGAAGATTGGTTTGGCACTCTTAGGTCAATACTTGAGAAAACATGTTGTCAATAAACGAGGAAGATGTGGCTAACTATACTGAAGGTTCTTTCTCTAATTCTCTCTCGTGGCAAAATTTGGCTAATCTTTAAGTTTAAACTTGTGGATATGGCTCGAGAAAGGTCTAAATTGACGTGCAGCTTTGAGTCTTACACATGAATCTTTTTTCAAACTGGGACAAGACAACGTCGGCTTTTCAATTTTACAGTTTAATCGGAAAATTGAACAAAAAAAATAATGAAAAATTTGTACTAAATACGATAAAAACTTAAGTCATTTTCCAATGTAGAACTTAAACTATTTTATTTTCTAAATATGACTTAATAATGTCTAGTGGCAAGAATAATATCCAGTGATGGTGGACATTTACTTGAATAATGACTAATGGATAATGATGAATGGTCCTACATTGGAAAATAAAAACATACGGTCCTATATTGAGAAAGTCATTCTATTTTAGTCCTATTTTTATAAAATTACCCAAAAATAATACCGTGATGAGATTGAACTATTTGAATGAGGCCAGGGCCTATTTGTTTGCAAGATTGAACTGTTTCAAATTGGAATAATTGAAAAAGACCTTAAAATTGATGTTATGATTCAAACAACTGAGGAAGGAAAAAAGCAACATAAACTCATAAGCCCAGCGAAGAAGAGATCTGAAGAAGCCGCGGCATGGGAGAGAGCCACATAGAAGCCGACACGCGAAGCCATCGCCACTACCGCCGACGAGCAAATTAAGAGGTAGAGGTGGCAAATTGAGAGACGGAGAGAGAAAGGGAGGGAGTGGAGCGTCGTAAATGGGGTGGTTGAGGAAGTGAATGGATTGAGGGTATAAAAGTCATATGACAACCTTTATTTTAAAAATAGAAGGGTAGTTTTAGAACGGAGAAAAAGAGAAAGTGGGAAAATTGTTTTAGGACGGAAGGAGTATCTATTATATTTAGCTAGTAGTCAAAATAATTTTGACTATACATTAAAAGGTTTGAATTAGACAACTACTCATGGATAGATATAGTATATATCTCTTTATTCTAAGATATTATATTTGCGGTACGGTCTTCTATACTTAATAACTACGGAGTATTTCATGATCAATAATTAGTTCTTTGTGGACTACTAACTACATGTGGAAAAAATTTGGAAACTTTTCCACCAAATATGTGATCATGAAATAGTTTTCAAATATGAGAGATCACGAACATAATATTTTGGAATAAAGTGTTATATGGAAAAACTTTAATTATAAATAATCATTTATATAATTTATTCTATTACTCTTTTTGTCAAATAAAAATATTCCATATTTTCTTTTTTATTTATCCCAAAAAAAGTTCCAATTTCTACTCATAGAATCTAATTGTGTTTATTATAATTTCTCTCCTCGACATCAATTTCAATCACACAATTTCATTTTTCTTAATCTTATCAAGTTAAACATAGAACTTTTTTATTAGGATGAAAGGGTCAAAGGGGTACTTATACTTTTATTACTATATAAACTACGGAGTATTTAATTTAAAACAGGGCGGCAAAAAAAATTGGCCTACAATATACTTTCTCCGTCCCGAAGTATTTGTCCTCATTTGACTTTTTTTTAGTTAAAATTGGTAACCTTAGACCCAAAATTAAATAAAAATAATATTAGATATTGATACAAAAATAGTTTTATTAGATTTATTATATAAAATATTTTTAAAATGTTATTTTATCGAAATAAAATACAATATATATTTTATTTAATTATAGGTCAAATGTTAAATATGATTGATTGAAAAAATCAAAATTAGATAAATACTACAGGGAGATAGTATTAGGTTTCATGGGAACTAGGTCAAATTTAAATGCTGTAATAGGTAAGCGTTATACTCCTTCCGTTCCACAAAACCCTTCCCCTTTCGTTTTTTTTGAATTCCCTAAAACACTTCCACTTTCTATTAAAAAACCTCTTTTACCCTTACTTTTTCATACCCTACCTATCACATCATACTTTTTCTCTAATAACCAAACTATCACATCTTACTTTTACCCATCACATCAGGGGCAAAATTGGAAAGTCAACCAAAATTACATTTTCCTTATTTTTGCCAAAAGTCAAAAGTGGAAGGGTTTAAAGAAACGGAGGGAGTTTCATTGTACATGCAAATATGCGAATATTGGTTATGCATGACTTCTGACCAGTGACTGAAGTTGTTTTGATTTATTGTTACGCGTTTAAAATAGGTTAAATACTTTAAATTGCGATCAGACATTAACACGTCGTTGTAGTATAGTGGTAAGTATTCCCGCCTGTCACGCGGGTGACCCGGGTTAGATCCCCGGCAACGGCGTTTTTTATTGTGTATGCGCTTTGTTCGAATTCCGGATTAAGTAAAATCATTATCTTTTAAACATTAATTAGGAAGGCGCGATATAATTTTATCTATTATAAGCTTCTTCTTTTTTGTAAGAAAAGATATTTTTATAAACATATGTTTTTTAATAAAAAATAAGATTTTTTATGTGAGAAAGTCCACAAAAATAGTATACACCCAAGGTGCACCATATGAGAAAAGAGTAGATATGATAAGAAATGAATTATAAAATCTGGGAAAAATTATATGAGTTTTGAAATCCGAAATGAATTTGTTTGAAGGGGATTTAACATTATGATTTAATTAGTGATAGTTGAGAGCGACCAGTAATGGTGGTGATTGACAGTGACAATGATAGCCGGTGACGGAGAATGATCATAAGTTGAGAGAGATATCGAACTTTCATATTAATATCTTCTAAATTCAAAAGATATCAAAATTCTCTATTTGAAGAATTTATGATATAAAGATATATCAAATTCAATTTTTTTTGGCTTCAGAAAAGAAATTCTGATATCTAGAGATATCAAAACTTATATTTTGTTTGCTCACCAAACATACCCTAAGATTTTAATAAAGATTTAATTATTGTTGCTACTAGTACTAGAGTAGTAATAACAACAACAACAATAATAATAGTAATAATAATAAGTATAATATTATTATTATCAATATTATAATATACTCCGTAATTCAGTAATAATAAGTTTTATTCAATTCAACATCTAAAATTTAGTTAAATTCAACTCAATACATACTCCGTGTAAGTTAGATGCAAATTCTTACGTGATCATTTTATGAAACTTAATCTATTGATATCATAAAGAAATTCAGTTCTTTACAGCAAATATTCAATTGCGAGCTCGTAAAATATTTGAGAAAATCTATATTTCACATGTCAACCTTCTGACCACGGAAGAAGAGCTCTAAGTTAGATATAAGTTCAATTCAATTAAATTTAATTCAGTATCTATGCGTTCGAATTGATTTAGTTGAGTTCAGATAAGCTCTCTACCGAGTACCACAAATCAGCTATTAAGATTATCATAATCTACCTTAAAAAACTACTGTAACAAACACTAAGAGCTTTTTAAAGTAATAATAAAAGAAGTCTGTTTAAATGTATGTTATGTACACAAATCCAAGCACTCCCTATACAGCAAATGAACTAACTATACCATCTCCCATTCTCCTCCACACATAGAGAGAAAATCTCCTAAAATCCCATCAAAAGAAAGCTAGAGGCATGAAATCAAGCAAGAAAATATCATCTCCCTCAGCTCACATTATATGGGAATTGGGTCTGGAGTTTTGATGTATACACAAATGTGGAGAAAGTATTCTGGGTTCACCAAGTTTTTCACCACCCACGCAAAAGGGATCGCCAGCTTCGGTTCTATTCCCTGTACCCGAACAAGTTTGATTTCTGTGTTTTTATCAGATGAATCTCCTCCTCTGGTTTCCATGGCGCTTGCCTCTTGTGAAGTAGATCTTCTGCCCTCGTCTTCTTCCACTCCGCAGGTCATGTCATCTTTGGTGGTAGAATTGTCCACAAAAAACTCGGGAAGTAGCATTCTTAGTGCATCGCCCAATGTGAAGAACTTGCCTGCAGGGACACACGAGTACATTCCGAACATTACGCAATTACGAAAACACCATTTGGGGCGCACAAGGCCCACATTTGGAAATTGAAAACGCATCATGGATGCTTGACTTAACACAAAATCGAAATATTCTCTCCATATGTGGGACTGTGGGAGTACTGCCATTTCCACGGGGTCTGTATGGATGAAGGTTTTTGGAGGGGGATGCTTGGCAGGGTTAGTCTATATCTTGATATATACTCCATAGAAAGCTTCTAAAAACAAAGGAAATGTGATTAAAATTCTCCACGGTTGCTTATTATGTTAATCTTTCATTTTTTACAAAATCTTTTAGATGTATCAAGATATAAACTAACCCTTCCACAACTCTCCATCAAAACAAAATCTTAGAGAAATTGTCACTTTGAACAATTTTTGCTGAAGGAATGGTTCTCCCAAATATGGTGCATATGCTGGAGAGCCACCACTCTAACAACAACAAACCCAGTATAATTCCAAAATTCAAACTCTGTTTGGGTCTGGGCTCAAGATTTGCGACCCCCCCCCCCTAATTGAAAGTAAGAAACAAGGAGTCATCACTCAATTATAGAAATTGTCACTTTGTGCAATTGCTCATTAAGAAATCAATTTTTACCAGCTAAATCAGTTTGTGCAATTGCTCATTAGTTATCAAGCACGATTACCAAATTTCATGTGTACTAACCATCTTCACAAATCTCAACAGGCCGGTTGATGTAAGAGATCTTGTCCCAACTCTCAACCACAGGTGCATAGCCTTCACAATCAAAATCCTCACTCAAGCTCCGAACATACAAACGTACCGGGATTCTTCCTGGCAAGCACAGATCAGAAAACAATTAAACATGCAGCCCTGCCGAAGCAAAAATCTTAACTTTCTGATATTTTTAAGTAGAGACTAGGGAAAAGGAAATGAAAAGATATCGAGAGAGTAAATATTATGTACTTTCAATTCTTTCACAACGTTGAAACATTATTTAAAAAGTAAAGATCTCCATACTAAATAAAAAAAATTAAAATCTCATTATTAAACAGACAATTATGAATATTTACAATCATTTCAATATTCATTGAATATATAAGAATGAATTAATGATTAGATCTCTTCCTTTTTCAACGTTAATGATACAGTCTAGATTTAAACCATATTCTCCCTTTCTAGATAAAAACACAACACAATGGATAAAGGGAAAAAAATCACAACAGCTAAAATAGGGTGACAAGAGAAGAATGTCACAGAGTAAAATTCAATCATTCGAACATATACTCTTGTAAATCTCTCACCTGGTTTTACTGCTCCTGCCGGAGCTTCTCCTTCATTTTTACTACTTTGCCTACACTTGTAAGAATCCAACTTAATTGAAAAATCATCTCCGTGCATACCCAGCTTAAGCTTAGATGAAACTCGGAGAAAAGCTTCCAAATTACCTATAGCAGTTGTACTTTGCAGTTAAATTGATGCCTATCTTTGAATAAACAAAAATTGGTTTCACAAATAATTCTATAAATAGATCTAGGAACAATATAGAATGCAAGTTTCTAGAATATATTGTACACCTAATTCTCAAAATCTCAAATGTTTAAACATCACATACATAACAGGAGTACAGAACTAAAACTAACTCCATATTTTTTGAAACCATACTTCACAGAAATTGCATGTTATCACATAGAAAACCAATTGAAATGATTGAAGAGACAGAGGCTAGAAGTAAGATGCATTATTTTAAATAAATACACATACTGTTTGAAACAGAGCGCCAAAGTTCTGATTGATCACTTTGAGACATATTCATGATGTTTTTGCAGTTGCCATTAATGATGTATGCTGCCTGCATAGTGAAACAAAAGACTAAAGGGAAGAACAGATAATACACCAAATGTTTCAAACCAGCAGTAATCGACATTGAGTAACAGGTGACCAATATACAATGATAGGAAGCATATCATGTGCAGAAGAAGAGAAGCAATGCCAGCCTGCTTAGATGTAACATGTAAGCACTGACGCAACAAAACTAATGGTACATCCCCTTCAGATCATTTTGCCAGAGCAGATTAAACATGGATGAAGGATCTCAACTGTCTAGAGTCTAGACTTCCCTTACCTTTCACAAAGAATCAGTTACTGATGTCATGGTACGGATATGGATTGCTGCTTGAAACTAATGAATGCTGTGTAATAGATTAACTTTATACATTGCCCTCTTAAACTTAATCTATTCAGCTCTACATGTCTACTACGTGATTCTATTAATCCATTGGTGAAAAATTGTTCTAAAGAAGGAAATTTTGAAAGAATACAGTAAAACTGTTTTCTAAGGAAACTACTCTGCCAGAAGGGAAATAAGTCAAATAACAAGTCATTTCAGGGAAGTAGCCAGGAATTCATGATTTTGTTCTCCAGATGTAAGAAAATTGTCATATGGCATCACATCTATAAAAAATGACAGGTTGACAACAGAAAATTGCAGCTATACTATCTATTTACAGAGAAATACATATGAAAATTAGCCCCCCGAAAAATGAAGGTACTTATATACATGAAATCTACAGAGTATTCATTAACTTGCTACCCCATGCTGAAAGTTTGAGAACATATCAGACCTCTATTCAAGAAGGCTCATAAATATTGTTATGACGGATGTAAGAAAGATAACAAACAATAAAGAAACGAAAGAACAAACACACACAGATTTAACGTGGTTCACCAACAATATGTTGGCTACGTCCACCTAACAGAAGAGAGGAGAGCTTTTACTGTTTGAGGAGAGAGATTACAGAGGGATTTTCTAGGTGACTGATCTATGTCTGAATGCCTTACAAATGAACCTATTTATTGGAAAGATGGCAGCCAACTTGGCTGCCTAAATCCAGTGGGAACTGAGCAGTTGACAGCCCACAATACTGCTGTCATACAGCTGGCCCACCTCACCAACTAGCAACCCACTTGCCCAATTGTCTAGGCCTCCTTCCAGCCACTTTCCAGACAGGTGCAGCCATTGTTGACTAGTCAAATAGGTTAGAATTCAAGGCATTCCAACAAATATCAGACCATAAAGAAATTTAAGATACAAAAGAAACTATGCCTAACCTCCTTTAAAGAATTTATAAAACTCCATTTCACAGTGTCTTCGGCTTCACATGGAGTTAAAATGCTTCCAGGGTATCCTCTGAAATGTACCTTCACAAATTTTTGAAAGATTGTTTGTCAGTTTAGAAACATTGAAAATGAGTGTGGAGAAAATAAAATCAAATGCAAATAAACAAAAAATAAAGTTTAAACAAACCAATTCAATAAACTTCCAAAATAAAAAATGCTCTTATGTTTAAGGAGACCACATGAAAACAACAACTCTACAAGTGGTGTATGTCAAAGTAATTGTGAGCCACACAGAATAGAGTTGAAGAATACTCAGATCTGATTCAGATACCTTCCTGTGAAGCCCAAAAATGGTAAAGAGAAACAAGTCAAGCGAAATCCAATAATCTTAATGTCTCGAGTGGCTAATGAGCTTTATCAAGCTTTTAATTTTTATATATATTGCAGATATAAGTCCATAACTTCATCCAGGTATGTTTATATATTTACAAAGTCCTTCCAATGTATAATATATTAATGTAAAACTCTAAAGACCAAAATTTGAAGAATAAGAGGCAGAGTCAAGACTTTCCCCAAATGTGAAGAACAAGAGCAGATAAGAAACATACAAAGATATATACTCCCTGTATCCCAAATCAATGTGCCAAGTTTGACTGGCACATTTTTTATTAAGGGTCCATTTGGAATGAAGGAAAACGGCTTCCAAAAATGAGTTCTGAAAATGATTTCTGGAATATAAATTTACTTTCTAGTGCTTGGCAGAAAGTTTGGAAAATGAAAAAAAACTTATTTTATTGTTATAACATATTTGAAGGTGATGAGTATGGATCTAAGAAGTTGGAGAACGGCAGAAAATGTCTTCCACCAAAAAAATCAAAATCATTTTCCTCCTCCAAATAAGGGTTATCTTCCGTTAACTTCATAAATCATTTATATTGACCCCTATTTTCCGAAACCAAATACCAAAAAATAGGAAAATGACTTCCCGATGTCATTTCCCCCCTTCCCAAACAGACTATATCGAAAACTGTGTCTGTGTGGATGAGATTTGTATAGAGGGGAGAGAAACATTAAGCAACATGCGTTTCCATTTATGCCAAATTGGAACGGACGAAAGAGAAAAACACGCAAGATAAATTGGAACAGAGGAAGAGTGTGTGTGTGTGTGTGTGGATGTGTGAACAAATGAGAATTACCGCTTATTTGAAAATTTGGGATCAATATGGTCCTTTAGGGCTCTGAATCACTAAAAATTAAGGGATGACTAAAAAACATGGTGGCAAACTACTAAATAAACAAAACCTTTCTATGAAAGTGCATTACCCAAAACATAAAAGTACATTGCAACAACAACAACCCAATATTGTCCCACGAATGGGGTCAGGAGAGGGTAGATGTACACAAACATTACCCCTACCTAGAGAATGTGGATGAGTTGGTTCCGAAAGACCCCGGCTCTAGCAAAAAAGTACATTGCAATGAACTATGATTGCCAATCTCGCATTCGTACATGAGGATTCATGCGCATGCAAACAAGGTCTTCTAGGGATAAAGTATGTATATATAGAATTATATATAATACTTCATCCATAAATAAACCACACACATAATTTTTACGTCTTTTACTAAAATCATCATCAATTTCTTTTTAATGATAGCAATATGTGACACCCATTATTTCTTTCTCTTTTAAACAAATTTCAAATGAGGCACTAATATAGGGACAGAGGGAGTACCTTTTTCTTACTCCGCAAAATATTGTATCTTTGTATGTTTTTAAAGGTATAATAGTCTTTAATGAGCCCGAGAAGGTTCATCCAAACAACTTGTTAGCGATTAGCCTAGGTTAACCTAGGTTGGCTAGTTTTATTGAATCAAGACTCAAGCTCATCATGTTAACTTAAGTTCATCCCGAAGCAAACGGATCATGAAGGTTTTCGAATGATAGAGTGGATGCAAGTACGTAACCCCCGGTTGAATCCCAATAATTCACGCACGGACACACAATCAAGTAACATCAACACGTTACTTCTTGAACTAAAATCATTGTCTACATTTCAAGCAGCTGCCTTAAATAAAGAAAGTGCTAAAGATTCACAACAGATTAATCTGCATAGATTGAATGATGTACACATTGATTACCAGTGTGCCACATAAGGTAATATACTTTTTAAATGATATGAACCGAGTTCGATCGGCTCAGCCAAATGTGTTAAACCCATGTCCCAAATGGAACCACAAAGAAAATAACAACTCGATGCCAGCTGCACAGTATGTTACCAAACCCAGTAAAATTATGAAGGACGTCCAGTCCACCGACGGCTAAGCTGCTAAGGTCCATCTGAAATTGAATGCTCATGAAGCAGAGAAGAGGAACCCAATGAATTAACATTAGTAGAATTATCCACTTTTAAATGAAAGGGGGTTATATTCGTAGAGGTCATCTGCCATAGCTCACCATCAAGCATCAATAAAAAAAAATTAAAAAAAACAATCAGACCCAGCTGACTACAATTTGAGAGATTGATTCCAGAATCCAGATATTAACAATATTTACACCGGGTACAATTACTTATGATGCAAATCCCAGAAGCCTTCAAACAAATATTTAACACACATTAGTTGTTTCGTTTACAACATCCAATGATAATGGAAGACCTTCCCACCCTTCCTGCTTTCACATTCAATAACCTTATTTAATGTGCATAAATTACATTTCCTTCTACAAGGATCACTGTTGGTTGTGTTAAGCCAAAATCTATTAACACCAATCATATACTCCCTCCATTTCTTAAAATCATTCCTCTTTCATTTTTTTGTTTCCCCTAAAACACTTCCACTTTCTATTAAAAAACCACTTTTACCCCTACTTTTTCTTACCCAATCTATCACATCATACTTTTTCACAAATAATCTATCCATCACATCTTACTTTTACCATCACATAAAGGGCAAAATTGGAAAGCCAACTCAAATAATCATTTCTTATTTTTGCCCCAAGGCAAAACAGGAAATGTTTATCGAAACGGAAGTATATCGTTCTCTATGATTTTCTATATACAACCTAAATTAAAAATTCCCAGTCAAGCCATCAAAATGTGGATTCGATGTCTCAAACTCTGAAACTCTAAATAGTATCTTATCATGAAGTATAGTAGTTTATCGTATCTTCATGAAATATACTCCATAATAACTACTCCCTCCGTCCCAAAAAGATTGTTACATTTCATTTCTTTGCGCATCACAAAAAGCAATGCTACTCACATCTAAAAATTCTAAAATTTACCATATTTACTCTTTATTATAAGATGAAATTGTTTTGAAAGTTTTTTTGGCATTTGAGACGATATAAAAGTATTTTAAGGGATGCGCAAAAAATGAAACGTAACGATCTTTTTGGGACGGAGGGAGTACAATAATTATAATAGTTACAAAATAGTAGAAATAAACTTCATGAATGCACACACATCACTTTCTATGTGTAGCTAAACTTACCGTTAGATTCCATGGTCTTTCTGGTTCTGCACAGAGAAGATCAAAGAGTACCCCAATAGGTATATACCTGCACAGATAACACAAAAACCAATTACTAAAACCCACCCAACAGATAGCTAATCTAATATGGTTTGTTTAATAAGGTTGTGGTTGAGGCCAAGGGGAAGATGAGCATTCTCAAGTATACTCAAATCTAACCACCAATTCATATATATGATATGTTCATCTAGACATGGATAAAGTTGTGGTTCAAATGAAAATAAATTTAGGGGAAAATATATGTGGATCATGACAAAATGGTAAAAAATAATGTGAAGTATTTATCACACTTAAACAATTTTAAGTCTCATATCACTTTAGCTAAATTCAAATATTCATGGATTGAGTTTTTTGAAATTCTCCGAGTTATTGCAGTTGTTCAATTAAATGAATGTGCCTAATCAGGAAACTCACTTTTCATTCATAAAAATATGAAAAAGATATAGCTCCATAGTCTCCATGCAAAGATATCAAGAACTATTTAAGGAGCATTCTCAAATGCAGCCAACAGTTCATGCATTGGATATGGTGATCTAAACATTGATTAAAAAAAAGTGGTTGTAATCAAAATAACTTCTTTAGAAAACATTAATAGATTGAAGCAAATGCTAAATATTGTTTATCATTTTCCTTAAATAATTTTGAATGTATCATACTATCATGTCACTTCACAAAATCTAGATATTCGTTAAATGAGTTCGTTAACTTTGTTTTATTCAAGTTCTTGCAGTTGTTCAATTAAATAAATGTGCCTAAACTGGAACCTCAGTTTTTATTCGGAAAATATGAAATAGATATAGTAGCTTCATGTAAAGATACAATACCATTTCAGAGGAAGCCCCTTGTACTCAAACCAAACAGTGTCCACACCTGGCGGTAGTGCACCACTGAAGAAAGGTTTAACTTGTGAAGCTAATAGAGGTAGATACCCTAACCGAGGAGCTAGAATCTGACTCAGAAAAAAATACAGAAGAAAATAAATTTGAATATATGTACGGATTACTTCAGTTTCAGCTTAATCAGAGAATGTGCAACGTGAGAGATGCTAAAATCTTTATTGATTGTACGGCCAATTTTAAGAAGACACTAAAATTAATGATCCATGTTGAACACAACAATGCCAACAAGCTGGAAGAGTAGAATTGGCAATGTTGGATACTTAAACCAAACCAAAAAAAACAGAAACAACCCAAAAGAAAGTGGAATGGTTATATTAGGGCAAGAAAAGCTTGATAGCAGTACAATTTAAATCCCCCCCCCCCCACACACACAAAATGGAGCTATTTGCTTTCACTTAAACCCTCAATAATCTCTTTAATGGCCATAAAAAACTATAAGGGTTCGTTTGGTACACGGAATTGATAGGAATTGGAATTGAATTGGAATTATAATTCCAAGAGATTCAATTCTATAGAATTGAATTCACCAATTCCAATTCATTTTTTGCACTACCAATTCCAAATGCACATAATTTTTGTGCTACCAAACAATAGAATTGGAATTGAGGTCCCCAATTCCAATTCCATAGTTTGAATTCCGTGTACCAAACGGAGCCTAAGCGAAATCTAAACATCATAAATACACATCTGCATTCTCTAAACGTCAATTAATGTTGACAACAATGAGCTGCGAGCATAGTAGATTGGGGGGGGGAGGTGGATCTTACGAGAGCCGGGGGAGGAAGAGGCAGAGTGGTGACTTCGGATTCGTGAAGATGAATCTGCAGTGGAATTGCTCCTCCCCAAACATACTTTTGTGCTTCTGTGCCTATACTGATTTCCATAGCTCAGGCTAAAACAGGGACAAAATTTGGGGGCAGAGCGCGCTAGAGAGAAAAAATGGAGTTTACCCAATTATACACGGGCACACGGCACAATCTCTACCACACAACTATTTTTGGGTAATCATATTTTGAGAAAACTAAGGGGTTGTTTGTTTCAGCCTCTTAATGGTTCAGATGTCTGAATGGTTTAGCACTTAATGGTTCAGACTGTTTGTTTCAGCCTCTTAATGGTTCAGATGTCTGAATGGTTAAGAGAAATGGTTAAGTAATGGTTAAGACCTCTTATCTAAATTGATCAGACATTTGCCTCTAAATAATTAAGCAATATACTAGCTCTTAATGGTTCAGACCTCTTACTGGTTCAGCACTTAATGGTTCAAACCTCTTACTGGTTCAGCACTTACCGATTCAGAATTTGCCAAACAGCCCCTAACTATGGAATAACTTACATTTTTATAAGAATTAATTACATAATTGGTTCTTTATAATAGGAGGATTTCCATATTTAGTCTTCTAAATATCAAATATTACACTCGTATTCCCTTTTTTAGGGGTTACTTTTCACAAATGGTCCTTTTTTTATCAACTGTCATGTTGGTATTAATTTAAAGACTAAAAGTATAATTTGACATTAACATTATGTCTAGTGACGTGTTCTGATATTGGTTAAGCAGATAACACAAAAATAATGACTATGATTGTGGGATAGGATTGGGACGAAAAACAACATTTGTAGACTATGGTTATAGTAGAAAACGACTGTAATTCACAAATGACGCAAACAAAACAACCTTTGGAATTGTGTATGACAAAAAAGATGTATTATCATTATGAAATTACACATTTAGCTCTCAAATTAAAATCAACATGATTGAATATAAAAAAAGGATTATTTGTGGAAAGATACTCATAAAAGAAGGACCACTGGAGTAACATTTGATAATAGAGGACTAAATAGAGAAACTCCCCTGTTATAAAATACCAATTATGGAATTTACTCATACACACACACACACACATATATGCGCTCCCTCCGTCCCTAAATATTAGCCACATTTGTATTTCCGAGGCAAAATATCAAGTTTTTCAATTCATTTTATTTACATATTGGTATAGAAATAAAAATAAAATTTACATATAAAAAAACTACATGAAAAGTTCTTCGAAATAAGAGGTGTCAAGAATATTTTATTTTATCAAATAACCAATAAAAACGTAGAAATAAACAAAAATTCTCGCGACTGCTGAAAAATCAAATGTTGTAAATATTTTGGTACAAATGATTGTGCTTGTGATCAACGTCTTCGAGTTGGATGATACTGTACACTCAAAAAGTAGCCAAAAGCACAGAATGCATGAATGAAGCAAAAAGCTACTCCTCCACCGAACAGCAATTGATGGTAAAACGCTGGGTGCACAAATGCTCCCACCACAAGAATCGCAAATCCTAGAAAAAAACAGATCCTGCATTACCAAACAATGAAACAGATGTATTATTAAACAATTGGATTAAATAAACATGACGTGACAAACTATGTTTAAGTAGCATATAAGATTAGAAGTGCAAATATTGTATTATGTGTTGGGATTTGATTAAGTATTCAAAATGGAAAAAACGGAGAGGAAAAAAGTACTCGATAGCCAAGAAAGAAATTAAAGAAAGATGAATGGCATGTGTTGATAATCCTAAGATCACCGGCGGATCCAGAATTTTAAATAGTTGGTAGCACAATATATCGGGGTTTAAGGGAAGTGCCTAAGTTTTGTTTAGAATAAATTTCATAAAAGGTCCCCAGTTATAAGTTGTTTTACTTACTTAGTCCCTACATATCAAATATTACTAATTTAATTCCCAATTATTATATCATTTATTACGAATAGTTCTTTATTAACATTTTTTGTTAAGAACATAGATAAAATTGTATATTCATACTTCTCTCTCTCCTCAATTAAGTTTCTTCCCTCCTCTCGTACTCTTTCCCAAACTCGTCGCTGAGTTTGAAGCTCTAAAACCAAAACTGAAATGATCATTCCTCTCTCAATTATTAGTCTTCCCAGTGGAACTTAAAATCAAAACCAATAAGCTTTATGGATGAGTTTTAATGGTTAGTCTCAAGAAATTGCAAAGAAAATAAATATTATAACTCATCCATGAAGGACATATGATTGTGGGCTAGGATTCTTACGAAAGACAACATTTGTAGATTATGGTTGTAATAGAAAGCGACTCTAATTCACAAACGATGGAAACAGAACAGCCTTTGGAATTGTGTATGACAAAAAAGATATATTATCATTGCGAAATTACACTTTTATCCCTCAAATTAACACCAACATGATAGAAGATCAAAAAAGGACTATTTGTGGAAAGATACACATAAAAGAAAGACCACTGGGGTCATATTTGATAATAGAGGACTAAATAGGGAAATCCCCCTGTTATACTCTAAAGTGCCTTCTATTTTGAGAAGTTAACTATCGGGTATCTTATATTTTTAAAATAATTCCAGGTACCTCCAAATATACATCAACTTACCCGTGAGGGACATTCCGTCTTACCCTCCGTCAAAGCCAGTTACGCCATTAATTTTAAGAAATAGGGGTTTGGAATTCCAAGAATAATCTTGGTTCTTCTACTTTAAGGATGTAATCTATCCATTTTAATCGAAGCTTTCGAATGAAACATAATGTCCCTCACGAGTAAGTTAACACTACAAAATTTCACTAAATCTGCGACGGAGTACTTATGTCGCGAAGCGTCAATTAACGCAGAATTAGAAATTGCAACAGGCTTGTGACGGGATAAATCCATCGCAAAAAACTTGTCACATTTCCAAAATAGAGGGTACCCAAGCTTGCAACGGAATAAATCATCTATTTCCAAAATGCGACAGGCTTGCGACGGAATAAATCCCTCTATTATAATATACATTTTGAGGTACCCATGAGTATATTTTAAAAATCTAAGTTACCCAATAATTAATTTCTAAAAATAGAGGGTAACCCGGAGTATATTTTAAAAATATGAGGTGCCCGGCAGTTAATTTCTCAAAATATGGGGGTACCCATGTGTAGTTTTCTGCATCCTCCTGAATAAAGAGATTAGATAGTAAATAAAAATAAATGGTGAAGATGTTGGTATACTCCTAGCATGGCTTATAGGGATGGGATTGATATAAATATGAATTAATCTATTTGTACACCAAAAATTATACTTCATTTTGTATCTCAAATGCATGCATCAACATTTTGTACTAGTGTAATACTAGTGTTATGGTTTACATTGATACAAAATGTCAGTGTAATTTTTTAAAACTAGCATTTTGTGCCAGTGTGAATCCTAAAACTGCCAATGTATCCCTTTGAGGTACACTTTTTAGAATACATGTAGCATGATTGTATAAATATACTCCTCTCCTATCCGATTAGGCCACGTTATCTTCGTCTAATATGATTGGTTCTGATTAGAGCTGATCTGGATGCAATTATATTTAAAGTTATTTGACTATTTCTAATCCGATCTGATCTGATTCCAATAAGAATAAGTTAAACAAATAGTTGGGGAGAACATGATCTAAATCATCTCATTTAAAAAAAATTAAAAGCAAAAAGTGAGTACTTGAAATTCAATCAGAGAAAATAACTAAATAAGAAGATTGTGGAACATATATGTTTTACTTTAATAGAAAATTAAAGAATTGAAACATTTATTTTGAAATAGACTAATAAAAGTAAGACGATTAATTTGAGCCTAAGACCATTAGCAAAGGAGAAGATCGTGACTTGCATTGTATGATGTATATCTTTGAATGGATTTGTCATTATCATATAAGAAAAAATTGTTAGACAATATGCTCCAACGTGAATATGTATTTAATTTGCACGCTGTATTATTTGCTCATTATCTTCGGGTTTTGATAATGACAAATAAGTAACAAGTGATAACAAACAACACATCAAGGTCATTTCTCATGTTCCTATACTACCCTCGATGAGTTTAACCCTGGTCCATTCTTTGTCTTGAGGTCATTTCTCTTCTTCCCGGTCAATTTTTTTCATTTTATGGTCAAGTCTTCGGATGCCCAAGGTGTTTCAACATTCCATGATTATGAACTGAAGTGTTCGAATGATATTAATATCGTACCGGATAGAGAAGGATTTCAACATTCTTGAGCTCTAGAAAAGGGATGTAAAGAACGAGAGGGAAACTCTGAACATTCCCAGATTCCCAAGAAAAGAAAGTTAAGACACTAGGGTTTGATATTATTCTTCGATTGATTGTAATGAAAGGGCTACATCTTTATCTATAGGAGATGGAGAAACCATAATGCTAACCCATACTTTAACTATGTCGGTTTAAGAAATGCATCGAGACAAAGAATAAAAAAGAAACCCTATGAGATCTTATAATTCCGCTCACTAAATAAAAGCTATGTTATACTCCCTCCGTCCGGAAATGATATTTTCATTCTACGTTTTCTCCCGTTCGAAAATGATGTTCCCATTCTACTTTTTATCACAATTTTTCCTAAATTACCCCTCCCATTAAATCTCTTTTTTTCTTCTTTCATTATCCTTTTTCTCCGTCACCCACCTCAATTGCTTCATCTTTCTCCCTCTCCCTCTCATTCTTCCTCACTCCCCGATCTTCTTATTCTCCTCCTCTTCTTTTTCTCATCCTCTTCTATTTTTCTTTTTCTCCTCCTCAACCTTCTTTCTCCATGTCCTCCTACACCTACTTCTTTTTTTCTTCCCCCTCCTAGATCTGTTCTAGATCTATGGTCTAGCGGCGATGGTGGACCCAATGGCGGCGGCGGGAGCTAAGGCAGCGGTGGATCTACGGTAGATCTATGCTAGATTTGTGGATTCTCTGTTTAATCTTCTTTTTCTCATCTTTCTCCTCTCTGTTTTCTCTCTTTCTCCTAGAGATCGTGCGATGGAGGTGGGGCTAATGGAGGTGGTGCAGCCTAGTTTGTTAATACACGTATAATACACGTATTATACTTACGTACGTATAATACGCATATTATACTCACATATCCGTATGATTTACAAAAATATGTTAAAATACATGTATATATTTTATACTATACGTATAATTACGAATAGTACGTATGATTTGAATATTTCATTATAAATTTTTTTATACAACAGCAAACATTAATTTGTTTCAAAAAATATTTAAACAAAATACGAGTAATACGAGTAATACTTCATATAAGTTATACATACAATACTCAATCAATTTGAAAAAATATATGTTCCCTCCGTCTCATTTTACATTGCGTGTATTGAATTTGGGGCATATTTAAGGAAGTGAAAAAATATTGTAGATTTTCCAAAAATTTCCTTACTTTTTTAGGAGGGTGACGATGAATGAGAAGACAAGGTGGAGATGAGTGACTTATTTTATGGATATTTTAGGTATTTTACCTTTAAAAGTTTACAATAATAAGAAACATGCAACTTATTTTGGGACGGATAAAAAAGAAAACAAACAATTTAAAATGAGACGGAGGTAGTACTATCTACTTTCTACAAAGAATTTAACACTCTTTTGGCACGTTCAAAAAAAGACTTCACTCTTTCTCTTTTTGTATGTCTCAAAAATTCATTTTCTTTTTAGAAAAGAATAAGTAACTCACAACTCTTATTTGTTTTTTCTAAATATATTCAAACTATATAGTTTTTATTTTTAATATTTTTTTAAACTACGTACGTGAAAGTCGAATAAGGATATTTTTTCAAATGACAGGAGTATATATATTTTTCAAATAGATATGTTAAATAAATAGAGATTCTAATTTGAAAAAATCTATTGTAAATATTCCAATTAAAAAAATTTGTATTTTGTTTATATGACTATCAATCGATAAATATGTGTTAATTTGACGTATATATGATAATATATAATTTTGTTTTTTGAATGTGAATTTTTGAATAGATAATTTAAAATTTTATTTTATAAAATATTATTTATATATTTTGAAACACACTTTGGTTGGGGTCCCTTCAATTTTAATTGGGGTCAAATTATACCTGAGTGTAAAAAATTAAAAAATTTTAAGAGTAAATTCCCAAAATGGTCCTTTGTAATAAGGTGTTTTTCCCAATTCAGTTCTCAATAAGTTTTAATTACCAACATGGTCCTCTATCATTGAGATTTATTCCCAAGATAGTCCTTCGTAAATATGTTACTCAAATGATGAATAATTGGGAGATATTTTGGTATTTTGATCATCCAAATTTAAAGTATATTCTCGAAATAGTTATTTATGTACAACTAAATGTAAAATTGAAAAAATACAGTGACTATAAATAATTAATGAATTGTTTAAAACTTTAAAAAAAATCTTTTAAATTTCAAATCGAATACGCATCTTTAATTAAGAAAAACCATTTTGGGAAATTACTTCTTTATAAATGATCATTTTAAGAATAAGTTCTAAATTTAACGGATAAAAAAACCAAAATATCTTCAATTAATCCTCATTTAAGTAACATTATTTACGAAACACCATGTTGGAAATAAATCTCAATTATAGAGGACCGCGTAAGTAATTAAAACTTGTTGAAGACTGATTTGGAAAAATATTTTATTACAAAAGACTATTTTGGGAATTTAATCAAAATTTAACCTTAACATTTGGGGCCATTGAGGCATAGGTCTGCCTCTGCCTAAGATGCATGTGTAGAACTTTGGGTTGATAGAAATCAAGTTAGTTTTCTCGTTTTTGGACTTTTTTGTTGGGTTGTTGGCTAATGGCATGTCTTTCACGGTTTCTATTGACTTTAAAAGTTAGGGTTTTTTTAGTGCTTAAATGTGTGGTTTTCAATACACTAAAGTAGA